TGTGTGTTGGTGGGGTGTGTGTGTGTTGGGATGTGTGTTGGTGGGGTGTGTGGAATCTCGTGTGTGTCTCTGTGTGTCTGTGTGTTGTGTGGCGTGTGTGTTGTGCGGCATATGTGTTGTGCAACGTGTGTGTTGATGGGGTGTGTGTAATCTTGTAGTAGCCAAGGGGAGTCCGCCGGCCCCAGGTGTGAGGAAGAGCAGGGAATTCTCACTCGGGGTCCCAGATCACAGCGTGCCCCACGTGGCCGTGGACCCACAGCCTCACTCCTGGGCGGCGTGGGCAGGAGACACCGTGGCTGAACTGTGGGTAGCGTGTGCACATCCATGTTAGTTTCATGTCTTTTTTCTATATTTTACCCGGTAAGTCCGTTGTTTGCTGGAACATGCCAGAAGATGCCAGATTGTTCACATGGCGGCCATGACAAGGCTGTGCCCTGGTACAGCTTGCTGGGTGCTGGGGGTCTCCGAGGCGCTGCACCCCTCCCCTGGCCTGCCTTGCCCTCAGGGGTCGTCAGCGGGCCCTGAGGATGATTCTCCTCCGGATTTTCATGAAGTTTAAAACATCCAGCCACCTTGGTGTGGGTTCGGCCCAGGCCTGGGCCCAGCGGGGCCTGCGCTGGGGAAACCTGTGCGGGGAGCATCTGTGGTGGGGCCTTCTCCAGGGCAGGGCTCTGGCCGGAGGAGAGGAGCATGTTCCCCTCCCGCCTCCGCGTGTCTGACCACCGGCCGAGGCAGTTTCAGAAGCGTCACTGTCCGCGACCCGATTGGACAAGATTTGTTGAAGCTCAGAGGGTGCCTGGGCAGGGAAGGCCAGCGTGCCCACCCCAGTGGCCCCTCCGAGAGCACCAGAGAGGGCTGGACGAGGTGGGAGGGGGCTGGGAGGAGGCAAGAGCAGCCTCCTTTGCTTCTCAGGCCTGCTGGGCTCGGGGCCTGGCCTGGCTGCCATCTCTCCAGCCTTTCCCTTTTCAAACTCCTCAGGCATCTGGAGACTTTGGCAGCGGGCTCGCCGACACCCGGGAGCTTCTCAGGGAGGAGATGGTGAGTAGCTGGACGAGGCCCAGCCCACCCTGCAGGGTCCTGGGAGAGCCCCCCAAGCAGTGCAGTGCACACATGTGCACACACAGGTGTGGCTCCAAGAGCCGCCTCTATGCCATGAAGACACATTCCCGGCTGGGAACAGGGATGCTGGGCTGGGCAGATGCTCCAAGCCTGGGGACAGGCCCCGCTCCAGCCCTGCCTGGCCACTGAGTGTCTCTGGTGAGAGGACATTCCTTTAAATGAGGTCCTGCCCTGCACATTCCTTGGTCTTTGAGGCGACCTTGGCCTTCCGTTCACCCCATCCCTCCGTTAGCTCGTGGGTGGCCACCAGGGAATGAACGGGTGTGTGAGTCTGACGACCAGGAGGAGAAGGCGGTGCAAGGAGCATGAGGAAGGGCTTTTCCCAGCTCAGGCCACCTGAGAAAACACAGGAGGGGCGGGGAGCGGGGAGGCCCCAGCCCCAGGACTGAGGCGCCATGCTTTCCGTTAGAGACGGGCGTGGGAATGTGGTCCCTGCAGGGACCCTCTGCAGGTTCTCATCAGCTTCCCAGCATGGCCTCTCAGGCGCCAGGAGGCCTCTCTGGTGATGGCAGGCACAGTCCTGGAGCCGGGGAGCCCACAGGCGGCCACACCCCTGCGGCCCACGGAAGGAAGCCCCTTGCACGCAGCCCTGCAGCACCCTCCTGTTTCAGAGGGTTTTTCTTTATCCTTCTTGCAATCTTAAGTATTTCATTTCACAAACCAAGCAAGGCTTTGCTGGGCATCTGCTGGCTGAATAACAGGCCATCTCCCCTCTCATCCTCCAGGGCACAGCCCTAAAACCCAGGCTCCCCACGCCACCCCCGGTCACTGCTCCACCCTTGGCTGGAGGCAGCAGCACGGAAGATTCCAGAAGTGAAGAAATCGAGGAGCAGACCACGGTGACTTCATTAGGAGGTAAGCTCTTTTCTGGATGTGTGTGTGTGGTGTGGTGTGGGGTGTGTGTGGTGCATGTGTGAGTGTGGTGTGTAACATGCATGTTTGTGTGATGCTGAGGTATGTGTGTGATGTATGGTGTATGTAGTGTGTGGTGTATATAGTGCATGTATGTGTAATATGTGGCACGTGTGTGATGTGTGTGTGATGTGTGGTGTGATGTGCATGTTTGTGTGACGTGTGTGATGTTTGTGATGTGTGTGTAGCGTGTATGGTGCATGCATGTGTGGGTGTGTGTGGTGTGTGCATAGTGTGATGTGTGCAGTGTGTGGTATGTATTGTGTGGTGTGTGTTGCATGTAGTGTACATGTGGTGTGCAGTGCATGGTGTGTGTTGTATGTGTAGTGTATTGTGTGTAGCGTATGTGTATGATGTGCATGTGTAATGTGTGTGTGATGTGTGTGTAGTGTGTGTGTGTATTGTGTGTAGTGTGTGTGTGATGTGCGTGTGTGATGTGTGTGTAGTATGTGTGTGTGTACTGTGTGTAGCATGTGTGTATGATGTGCATGTGTAATGTGTGTGTGTGATGTGTGTAGTGTGTGTGTGTATTGTGTGTAGCGTATGTGTATGATGTGCATGTGTAATGTGTGTGTGATGTGTGTGTAGTGTGTGTGTGTATTGTGTGTAGTGTGTGTGTGTGATGTGCGTGTGTGATGTGTGTGTAGTGTGTGTGTGTGTAGTGTGTGTAGTGTATGTGTGTGTGTGAGGCAGGTGGGGAGATGCCGAGGCCTGGATGGTGGCTGTGGGTACAGGCTCTGGGTATTCACTGTGCTTCTCTTGCAGGATTTCTGTTGGTTTTCATTTTTATTTTAATTAAAAGTTAGGAGGGAAAGAGGAAAAGGGACAAAGCATGCTGGGAGATAAGAAGGCATTTTGGGGGGCTAGGGTCTCTTGTAACAAGTTCAGGAAGCATCTCCCAGGTTTCAGCTGTCATCGGCTTAGGTGGCCACACCGGCCTTACTGTTGATTTTAAATTCTCTCTCCCTGTTTCCTGTGCCTGGGAGCCAGAGCTTAGGGGAGTGCAGCTTGAGGCTGGGAATCTGATGGTGTCCAGCCAGGCTCCAGGACTGAACGCGTTTGGGCTGCCGGGGCTATCTGGGATGCCGAGAGCAGAGCTGGGACCACCCGGGGGGCCTGACAGTGGCCACCTCTGCTTCTCTTCTCAGCTCAGACACTTCCTGGCTCAGATTCTGTCTCCACGTGGGACGGGAGTGTCCAGACCCCTGGGGGCCGCGTGAAAGAGGTAAGGCCACCTCCCTGAGCTCCGGAACCATTCTGAACCAAAGCACCCGTGGCCTTTCGGGCCACTCACTGGTGAGCCCTGATGAAGCCCCTCCGTGCCCGTGCCTCCTTTGTGCCCAGCGCACGGTGCCAGCATGCATCCACCCTGCGTGTCCCCCGTGGGAAGCAGAGCCCAGCCCGGGACTCTGTAGGGCACAGTGGGACACGTGGGCAGGGTGTGTGGGGCCTCACCCCAGCCCGGGCCCTTGTGTTCTCTTTATTCCCAGGGCGGCCTGAAGGGGCAGAAAGGGGAGCCAGGTATTCCAGGCCCGCCTGGCCGGGCAGGCCCCCCAGGCTCCCCCTGCCTGCCTGGTCCCCCGGGTCTCCCGTGCCCGGTCAGTCCCCTGGGTCCTGTAGGCCCAGCGTTGCAACCTGTCCCCGGACCACAAGGACCTCCAGGGCTGCCAGGGAGGGACGGCACCCCTGGAAGGGATGGCGAGCCGGTGAGTCCTCCTGCCCGTCCAGTCCAGCCCCTTCTGGAGGTGGGGGCTCAGGTAGGACGGGGAGAGGCTGCGGCCGACATGGGAGTGAGCTGAGCTGGGATCGGGGCAGGTCAGCAGCATCCTTGGGACCACCGTTGCGTGGGATTGGTGCTGGAAGGTGGTCAGATGTGGGAGGCGGAGCTGCTCAGACACAGCCCTTGTGGGTGCGAGGAGGCTCCTGGCGCGGGTCCCGGGACATCTGGGGAAGGCATCTTTGCCACCTCGGGGGGACTTGGGGTGGGCGGTGCATTTCCATGTGCAGACCCTGGGTGGGGCTGGAGGTGGCATTTCCGATCACTCACAGCTTCTCTTGCACACCCAGGGTGACCCTGGTGAAGACGGAAAGCCGGTAAGTCTGCTTTTCTTTCTGATCCCCATGTTATCTGTGATGTTTGCTTAGACCCCAGGGCTGTGTTGCTGGGGACACTCTTTTTAGGAGGAGACTGTACAGCAAAACCATTTTTAAAATGAAATTTTGTAAAGAAGAGTGTAACTTGATGGGAAATAGGTAGTTATGTGTTTGTGTTGAGACATTTAGGCCACAACTACTAGGAAGAAGAAAAGGCAGAGCTTCCAAACCCTTGGAAAACGCACAGCAAAGAAAAAGGAAGTCGGGGTAGGGGCGCAAGACAGGAGAGAAGCGCGGAGCGACCAGGGGATCTGTAAAGTCAGAGCTTCTGTCTCAAAACACGTGGTTCAGATTTTAAAAATCAGCAAACACTGTTTCCAAGCACAGTGAAATGACGTGGTAGACTGCGAATAAAGATCTGGGAATAGCCTGCCCAGCAAATGGTAACACTCGGCAGAAAGTGGGGCCATCACGAGTGCTGGACAGGAGAGTTCAAGTTAAAAACAGTCTAGAAAGTCTGAAAGGACAGGGAGGGCATCTCATGGTGCCCACCGAACAGTCATTACCGACCGCCTGGCACCCCACAGCCAAGCTGCCTGCGAGGAGGACCATGGCAGACTAAGCAGGGCAGTCGGCTGGGGGGGCGGCACGGGGCCTACCCACTGCAACAGGGTACACACACGCGTGTGTGAGTGTGGGGTGAGGATCCATGGGGCCCACCCACAGCAGGGCACACACGTGTGTGTGCGTGTGTGCATGTGTGTGTGTGTGCATGTGCATGCATGTGCCTGTGTTTGAATGTGTGCACGTGTGAGAGTGTGAGCATGTGTGAGTGAATGTGGGTATGTGTGTGTGCATGTGTGTGAATGTGTGTGCATGTGTTTGAGTGTGCATGCGTGTGTGTTTTAATGTGTGGGCGTGTGTGAATGTGTGTGCGTGTGTTTGTATGTGTGTGTGTGCGCGTGCATGTGTGAATGTGTGTGTGAATATGTGTGTGTGTGAATGTATGTGAATGTATGTGTTTCAGTATGTGCATGTGTGAATCTGTGTGCACGTGTATGTGTGCATGTGTGTGAATGTGTGTGCATGTCCTTGTGTGAGTGTGTATGTGCGTGTATGAATGTGTGTGCATGTGTTAACATGTGTGCATGCACGTATGTGTTTGAGTGTTTGCGTGTGTGAATGTGTGAGTGGGTGGGATGAGGATCCACAGGGCTCAGCAACAGGCTTGATCTTAGACGTTCCCATCCGGAAAAGGAAATCCTGCCCGACTTTGTCACCATCACTTGGACACTTCAAAACACTGGCCTTCACCTGGGCACGAGGCCCTCACCTGCTTCCCCGTGCAGCAAACACGCAGATGCTCTGCCCACCACATCCCCCTACACCACACGTGGACACATGCACACTACACACACCACGTGTGCACACACCACACATTACACACACCACAGGTGGGCACATGCACACATGTACACGTACCACACGCACACACGGCATACACCACACATGGCCACACACTACACACATACACATACCACGTGTGCACACACATGCACACACCGTGCGTTATGCACACCATACATGCACACTCACGCCACACAGACATATCACACATGCACACACCACACCCCTCACACATACCGTGCATACCACATCCACACACATATATGTAACAACCCAAGCACCGGCTATTGTGGAGGCCGTCGGGGGACCTGCTGTGACCTCCCGAGGGATGCTCCCCACAGCTTCCCCCAGGCGTGGCTGGCGAGATGGGCTCAGGCGGGAGACAATCTGCTGGGCCTGGCACCCTCCTACTTTCCGGGCCCCGGAGACTCCCCTGAAGCGCTCAGCTCCCGTCTGTCCCCTGCCTGGGGGAAGAGCACTGAGGGTGCCAGGCTGTGGCCCATGGTGGGGTGCCTCCCCTGACCGGGCTCCCGGCTGCTGTGTTCCAGGGCGACACCGGGCCGCAGGGCTTCCCCGGGACTCCGGGGGACGTGGGCCCCAAGGGCGACAAGGTGAGTCTTCGTGGCTGGGCGGGGCCCCTTCCTGTGTTGGCCCGAGGTGGGGGCTGCGTGCGTGCCCAGGGTGTGACGAGCTTGTCTTGTGTTCCCAGGGAGACCCCGGGGTTGGAGCGAGAGGACCCCCAGGACCCCAAGGGCCTCCGGGGCCCCCAGGACCCTCCTTCAGACACGACAAGCTGGTGAGTCCCGCCCTTGGCTTCCTGTGACCTGGGCTCTGCCGTCCTCAAAAGCAGGTACTGCTTCTGGGAGGGCATCTGGCTCAGGAGGATCAGCTCCACCCTCAGGGGCTTGCATGGGGTCTCAGCTGAGCCGAGGGGTCTCAGGTGTGGTGGGAGCTCCCACCCACCTGCCTTCAGGCTTCTCTGGGGGCAGCAGAGGGGCCGTGGTTTCTCAGCTCCTCGTAGAAACAGCTTGATGCGCAGCTTGCGGGGCGGGGGCCAGGAGTAGCCAGGCGGGGGCCAAGCTCGGGGCAATGCGTCTCTCGGCTCTTTTCCTCAGACCTTCATTGACATGGAGGGATCTGGCTTCGGTGGTGATCTGGAGGCCCTGCGGGTGAGTGGCCCTTAACCTGCGGCGCTGCCCGATGTCTGTGCCCGTGAGGGACAGGCCACGGACCCCCGAGATTCAGTTGGGATCCTGTGGGGGGTGGGGACAAGGCCTGGTTTGAGGATGGTGGTCATCCCTGGTGGCTGCCACATGGGCTGTGACCATCTGTGTTTGCCCACGTCCAGGGTCCTCGAGGCTTCCCCGGACCCCCCGGACCCCCCGGTGTCCCAGGCCTGCCCGGCGAGCCAGGCCGCTTTGGGGTGAACAGTTCTGACGTCCCAGGACCTGCCGGCCTTCCTGGTGTGCCTGGGCGCGAGGGTCCCCCCGGGTTTCCCGGCCTCCCGGTAAGTCCTGCCTCAGGAGTCCTGTCTGCTGGGAGTGGGGGGTGAACACCCCACGTGGGACCCCTGCCCCACCTCAGGCCTCCCCAGTCCCCGCCCCTCACCTCATCTCCCCTGGGAGCTGGCGGACAACTCCAGACTCGGGGCCACCCTGGGGTGTGTGGAGGCACCTCAGTGGCCACCCCGTGGTTCTGGTGGTGCTGACCAGTGGGGGTGGCTGCAAGCAAGGCCTCCGACTTCTGGCCCTGTGGGTCCGCGGACTGCACAGAGTGTCTCCATGAGCAATTCCCATGGGTGGGGGGGGGAGGGCCGAGGTCAGCACTGCCAGAGGGCCAGGGGAGGGAGGAGCCTGCTTGGCCAGCACAGCTCATGGGGTCTCAGGGCCCCGCGGCAGGCTCCCCACTGGCTCTGCCACATATGACGGGCAGCAGGTGCCTGCAGACATGGCTGCCGTAACTGGGTCACGCTGCGCTGGCATCCCGTGGCCCGAGGTCACTCAGTAACGTGCTGTGGCGTGTAGGGCAGGGAGTGTGTGGTTAGGTCACCCATGACGTGCCCCTGCCTCCGTGACAGTCCCTACCTGAGCCAACCAACCCTCCTGATGGGCGTTCGCCATCACCATTGGCTCTGAGGCCTCTCTGGGTGCCGCGTGGCAAGCCCTCCCCAGCATCCAATCTAAGGGACAATTTGGGCTTAAAGAATATGCCTAATCCATATTCATACGTGTGGCCAGACCGTCTCTCAGAGGGAGCAGCGGGTACCCCAGCCCTGGTGTTAAGTGCCTTCCGGCCGTGGTGCTGTCGGCCCTGCCATCTCATCCTGCCAATGTGGCCGTGAAACTGTGGGTTGCACAGGCCGTGGGGTCTCCCGTGAGCCCTGGGACCCGGGCCCTGTGTCTGGGGAACGCTCTGTGTCCTGCCTTTGGGCCACCCGTGGAAGCCCAGATAACCTGTTAACCCAGAAATCATTTCAGTGGCTGAATGCCATCAAGATCCACTATGCTCTGCTCTCCTCCAGGGACCCCCAGGCCCTCCAGGAAAAGAGGGGCCCCCAGGAAGGACGGGGCAGAAAGGCAGCCTGGTAAGTCTCCCCTCGAGTCTAGGGTGAATGGGGCCCGGCACCACACCATGTGGCCAGGGCTGGCCGAGCGCTGGGGGTCCAGGGGTGCCTGGTGACGTCCGTGAAGGGGAAGTGCCAGGAATAGCCGCCCCCATCACAGCCCCACAGCCTGGGGCCTCGGGCTCTGGAGGTCGCCCTGACCTGGGCACTCGGGTAGAAATTATGGACCGTGATGATGCCGGACTCATGGGTTTTAAGAACGTGGGCGCCCCGCGAGATCTGAGATCTTACTCCAAGTTTCCACACTGGTTACGGGGCAGTGGCCATGAGCCTCTGTCGGACTGACGCCAGGAGCCGGGGCCCCGGGCGTCTGTGGGTGGACCTTGCGGGAGGCGCCTGCGTCCAGCCCCCTGGGGAGCGGTCTCCAGCGTGATCTCAGATGAGAGCTGCTCTGCTTTGGGCTGAGCAGGGGACGTTGGCTGTCAATGCCCCTTGCGGCTCTAAGCCTGTGGCTGAGCTGAAGGACCCTCCCTGGGGAGGCATCCAGGCCCCACGTGGAGCCGGGTCCAGCATTGGGATCAGGCTTGGCGTCCCTTGTGGCTTCCCTTTCAGGACCCCAACCATACCAGAAAGGGGGATGACAGTGGCAACAGCCTCAGAAACTATTAAACCAGCACAGGCAGCAAAGCAGGGATCCCGGTCGGGGCGTAGTTCCTGGCAGGGCGACGCGCCTTCCTCTGTCCTCTGTGCTGCGGGCCTGATTTTGTCATAACCCTGCTCTTTTCCGTACAGGGTGAAGCAGGCGCCCCAGGACATAAGGTACGAGCAGCATCCCCGGCACAGCCGTCCCCTGCCCCTGGTGCCCACTCAGTGGTCGTGCCCCCAAGGAGGGTGGGGGCCCCACGGTCGAGGGAGTGAGCTCTCCTGGGGCTGGCCTTGACCCCCAATCCTGCCAGCCGTCCACCCTGCCGGAATTGCTGGCAGCGGCCTCTGTCACTCTTGCGATGTGGCTTCCACCGAGCTCTGGTCTGCTGGTGAACTGAGGGTAGATGTGTCCTGGAAGCTGAGCTCCTCTGGAAACGAGCTCCCTGTGGCGAGTGCGATAAAGCAGCTCTGGGAGCTTCGGGAGGAGGGGCTGGGCCACTGCAGGTGGAGAGGTCGCCTGTGGCCTGGGGAGGGTCCTGAGCTGGGCCCCCCAACATCCTCCCACAAGCGAGCCCCATCGGCCTGCCCTGCAGGCTCATGAGCGTCTGGGGGCACTCGGAGGGAGCCCTGAAGGCAACTGGGGTGTCCTTGGTGGCCCTGGCCTGGTCCAGAGTCTGCTCAGACCCTCTGGACTCAGGGCAGCCACTCTCCATGGACCCAGCCTGCCTTTGGGCAGCCTGAGGTCTGGGCCACAGCCTGCTTGACCAGACAGCTTATCTGACGCCCCCACAACGACCCACTTCCTCCTCCTGTTCTGCTGGAGTGGAGCTGGAGGAGGAGCCGGAACCCTGCAGAGGAGGTGCTGGGAGCTGGTCCTGGGCCTCCAGTTGGCATCTGTGCCAACCCCACGACCACACATGCCCCCGGAGGTCCCCTCGAGGATCCAGGCCTCTGTGGGCCACCCACTCGAATCACGTCCAAAACATCTGGAGCTCCTCACCTTGGGCTGGACAGGGTTGGCACTAACAGGGAACTTCCCCCAGAGCACGGCCAAGCCCCAGGCTGGGGGTGATGAGGGAAGGAAGGCCGGTGGGGAGAGGCATGAGGAAGAGGACAGCAGCGAGTCAGGTGGTGAGAGCACCAGGAGGGGCTGAGAGGACACAGGCTGGGAATGAAGGCATGTGCATATACACGCGCGCACGCACACACAATGCACACACACACATACAATCTCCAGCATATATACACGCGTGTGCACACACAATGCACACACAATCTCCAGCATATGTGCACACATGCACACACAATCTCCAGCATATGTGCGCGCACACACACACACACAATCTCCAGCATATGTGCGCGCACACACACACAATCTCCAGCATATGTGCGCGCACACACACACACAATATCCAGCATATGCACACACACACACACACACACACACACACACACACACACACACATAGATCTCTCCAGCATAAAGTTAGAAGAAAGGCTGCTGTGAGGTCTGCGTTGCTTTGCGGAATGTTCCTTACCTTTTGGTTTGCAGGGTTTAGAAGGTATCATAAGAAAACATATCTACACCAGGGTTGCAGGGCCAGCGGGGGCTGGGCTGGGTCCTGACACGCTCTCCTCACCTCATGCAGGGGAGCAAGGGAGACGCCGGTCCTGCTGGCGCTCGCGGGGAGAGCGGCCTGGCAGGAGCCCCTGGACCCGCTGGACCACCAGGCCCCCCTGGGCCCCCTGGGCCCCCTGGGCCACCAGGACGAGGACTCCCCGCTGGATTTGTGAGTACCGCCTACATCTGACCCCCTGGAGTGCCGGGGGCTGCCTTTGCCCCAGCCCTGCTACCCCGGCATCTCACTCACAGAGCAGCACGTCCTGCGCGGTGGTCTCACTGGCGCTGCCTTGGCCCACGATTCCATATTCCCCATGGTGGAGCTCGAGTCTCTCTCCCGTCACCCGTGCCCCACAGTGCTGATGGGGAACTCGGCCCAGCCATACCCTGGCACCTGTGCCCTGACCAAGAGCGAATGAGCTGACCCGAGATGGGCTGCCCCTGGGGGCCCCCACCCCGGCCCTGCCACCAGGTAGACAGTCCCCTTCCGAGAATGGAGGCTCCCCAGGCCACCGTGGCCCCAAAGTGAGGGGTCAGTGCCAGCCCCAGGGAGGGGCCCTTCCCTAAGAAGGGACACAGGCCCACGCGTGTCTTGTGTGTCTCCTCCAGGATGACATGGAAGGCTCCGGGGGGCCCTTCTGGTCAACAGCCCGAGGCGCCGATGGGCCGCAGGTACTCTTGTGAGCTGGGCATGGCCAGCTCTGAGGGCTGAGGGAGTGTTGTCTGGGGCAGGAGGGTGTCCCTGAGAGCCACCAGCCTTGCATGGGGCCGGACGCTGCCCCACAGAGCTGTGAGGGCCGCATGTGGCAGGCGCTGTGCCACCGTGGGCCACCCTTGCTCTTGGGAGATGCCCCTTCATTGAAGTAAAGTCACGGGATGAGGGCCTGGTCTGCAAAGTGGGAGACACTGTGGGTGGTCAAGACAAAGGAGCGTGGGGCCGCATGCCGCCCGAAAGACAGGCCTTTCTGGGGAAATTCAAGTCATCACATTCTTTTTGTGGCCCCAATTTTGGGAAGTAACAAATGTTCGGCCTGAGTAGAATCTGAAATTCCTATGAAATCTCCACCTTGTTCTACTGTTAACATATGTACTGCTCAGGATTAGGGCCAGCAAAGAGTGACCAAAATCCCAAAACAACTGCTCAGACAGCTCAGCTGTGTCAGGGGCAGACCCAGGGGCCGGCAGCCCCTTCCTCCCCCAGCCCCGCTGTCCCCTCCACACCACCATCTCTCCCGTGGTGCCAGCATGGAGGAGCCCCCAGGGCCACATGGGGCGGCTGAAGCCACAGCGTCCAGCTTCACGCTCAGAGGCGCAGCCTGTGGAGAGCGTGGGTGTCTGGGACATGTTTCGTACTCTGAGCAAAATGAATGAGAAATTTCAATTAGGCAGAAACTAATTGATTCCATAATCAGTTAGAATGGCTTTACCATTTTAAGTCAGTACATTTCCTTTTACACACACATTTTTAATTGTTGACTGTTACCAGCGGGCTTTTCTTGTGGGAGAAGCATCTCACAGCAGGGCCTCCAGCTGCACTAACGCTGTGTCTCCTCTGTCCTGACAGGGACCCCCCGGCCTGCCAGGACTGAAGGTCAGTGACGGATGCGCCTGGGTTTCGGGGGTCGCTGGCTCAGCCCTGGCCTCGGCACCCCGGGGCTGGGGGAGACAGGGCCTTGCCTCGGGTTTTCTGATGACAGGAGTAGGATGAATTCATCCTGGGAAATTTGCAAAATACAGCAAAAAAGCCTAACGGGGAAATAATCGCACACTCCTCCAACCCAGACTTCCAGCGTTAAGGGGCCATTGTCCCGTTCTCTCTCCGAAGCCCAGGAATCAAGATTCCTGGGTTCACACACCTGAAGCATATTCTCAGACTCGGGCTGAAAAGAGGGGCATGGGAGAAGAACCCGGGGTCCCCACCTCAACTTCAGGGACAAGTGGGCTCCTGGGCTCAGGGACAGAGGCGTGGTGACCTTGTAGGACCCAGGAGCTTTGTCCTCTGCTTCCCCTGTCCCTGGGGGACACCAGCCCCCAGCCTGGCCCCAAAGACCCCACCCCTGCCCAGGCCCCGAAGCTCCCAGGGCAGGTGCCTGAGGGGTGAAGCCTGGAGGCTCCTATCCTGGGCCCTGGGCAGCAGCTGCCTTTCACCCCACTGCGCGCTCATCAGTGTGTCCTCTGCTGTGTGCGGGGCCAAGGGCACATGGGGCCCACCCTGGGACTGGACTTTCACTTGTCACCAGCCCCTGCCGTGGCACCCGCTCCTTTGAGAATGCTTTGCTTTCATTTGCAAGACGTTGGAACATTACAAAAGGCTTTTTGGAAGATCCGTGTATTCGCTTTCTTAAATTGTTTAAAAGAGGCCATCTCAGCAGGGACCACGGGGTCCCTGCACAAGTTGCTCAGTGTCCCTGGGACCCCTCGGCTCTGGGCTGGGGGAGGGCGGTGAAATGCATCCTGGGTAACTCGCCCTTCCCTGCCCCCGGGGTGGACGCTGCCTGAGGACGGGGCTGGCCCAAGCAGGTGCTTACCAAGCCCGCTTTATTCACTTAGGGGGATCCTGGTGTGCCTGGGCTGCGGGGGGCAAAGGTAAGCTCTGTGCCTGGCAGGGGACTCCAAGGCCACAGTCCACAGCCCTGGGAGCCTCCTCACCCCACGTGGGTTCTGGGCGCCCCCTCCAGGGCTGGGTGGGCTGTGGGGTCCTGACCAGAGTGGCTGAGATGAAATGCTGGATGGGGACGTGGCCAGGCAGAGGCAGGGAGGGCCCAGGCGGACGTCTGTGGAGATCCGCTCGGGGCAGCCTCTCGTGCTCTTCCTCGCACTGCTTTGTTTATTTATAATTGAAGACATGCTGGTTTCAAAGGCAACCCCCAGAACACCCACCTGCAGGGCACCCAACCCCAGGGTACCCCCTGGTTTGACTGTGTCAGGAACATGGTCTTCCTTCCTCCCAGCTGTCTGACGGTGCAGGCCCCTTCGGCCCCTGCCACTGGCCTCCCG